TGGACTGTTTTAACTCACTCTTTTGAGTAATTTTCATGTTTTGCTCCTTATCTTTCATTAGTTCCATTAGTACCATTAGTTCGAAACGATCTTGCAATTCTTTGCCATGATGAATTGATTCTTTTTTATTTTCTGTTTTTGTCAATATTGCGTTCGATATTTCCCTATTTCTCACAGAATCTCGACTTTCCTGAGAGCATGTCACAAGAGATGCGGAATTTACTTGAAGGACTTCTTGCGCGCGAAGTGAATCATCGGTTAGGGTGCATGGGACGAGGGTAAGTGAATATGTTTTTACAATAGTTCGGGTGGCTACGTATCTCCTCATACTAGCGTTTATCGCCCCATTTTTACACGAAAATCATGCGAAAACCGCACGGAATTTGGGCCACATTACCTTGCCATCGGCCAGAGTGGAAATACTTGATAGCCTCATCATATTGTTGGAGCACTTATCGCTCGAAGTTCTTTCGCAGTTTACTCGATAGGCAGTATCCTCACCTCATTGCGGGTTTGCATTGGTCTGCCATAGTCTGCCTGCGATGTCGTGGATTCTTGAAAGTTTCTGCATTCAGGACAAGGTTATTTCCCTTAATTTCTGCAAATGTGGGAACGAAAACGGAGTGTTCAGAATCGGAAACTAATACTCAGACTACAACTAACTGTCTTCCTCATAACGAAAATGTTAGTGTATAAGTTGGGAACACTTTCACACATTGTGTCAGTTTTCCGCACCCGTAACAAAATTGATTGAGGGTGATAACCGATGGGCAAGTATTGCATGTTGAGAATGAAGCGTAATGTGTATTTCGACGGTTGTACTTTCTGAAGGTCAAACATCTGAGTTCAGGTGATCTCTAGCTACACCTCGCATTTGAGTGTTATAGTCTTAGTTGTTATTGCTCAGTTGTTCCTCTCGATAAGTACCGAGTTCCGGCACATGGTATCACGAGTGAATCATTTAAGATCCAGATAATAACGATCAATGCTTTAGTTGGACTGTTCCTAAGGCTTGTTACTTCGAGTGAGTTTCGAACTGAAACCAGTGAATATAAGTCCGAAATGCAACGCATTTCGTGGGTTAGAACGTATACACGGGGAATGGAAGACTGAATAGTTTTAAAGTCATGCATTACTTAATTTCATTGCGTCGCAGATACCACGAGGAAAACCTTTCAATGTGTCTTGTAGAAACGTTCGTTTCCATGATAGCATTCACTGACCATCTTCAGTTATCTTCAATCCACTACCTCGTTTAGCGATTCTGACTGGAACACGCGGTAAACATGGCGGGGAAGTGAAACTTGATGTAGTTAAACATGCCATTCTGTCTGGCCACGATATCATTAACTCAATCGGTTTATACCAAACACTTTCTGGTTCACATGATCTGGCCTTATACGACCACATAATGAACAGTTTAATTAGCTGTTCTGCAACAATATTTGAATTTTATAAGCCCCGGAACTGATTTCAGTACCAGTTAGGTCAATTTTCAAGTACGAGAAGGATGATACCATTCCGTCCTCATATTCCTACTTTCTTACCAAAGCTATCTTCTACTTCCCCACTCCGAATATTCAGTTTTCAGTTTTACGCCAACCGCGAGGTTTAATAGTTTGAGCTTAAATTAGTCCACAATTGGTATGAACACAGTTTTGGTCGGTTGATATGCGGTAAATTCATAAGTTTGGTTGACCTATTTCACACTTGTCCAAGAGAGTCATTATCAGATTGCTATGGGACGGACTACTACATCAAAGGATGCTTTTCGTTCGTCGAAAAGGACACGTAATCCCGTTGCCCAGCCGGTGCTTGAATAAACGTTTCAATTCTCTTGATGGTATTTTCATATATATTCTTCTCTTGAATGAAATCGAGTGAAGAAATGGGTTTCATTCCCTATTTCAAACAAATTAAGGTGCACCAGTCATCATCCTTTTAGGACCATAAGACTACGGGTATCTTCTCAGTATGTTGTCTTCAGCGAAGCCTACCAAAGAATTTCACGAATATTTTTCTATTCAAAGGTTTTGGATCGTTTGTCTGTCAGAATATATACGGGACACACGAAACGCACTTGACAGAATGACAAGTGTTGCTCCACTCGGCTTGCGCCTTACATCTTCCTGGTGTTAAGTGATTTTGCAATACTGGGTGCCCCTAAGTCCTTCTTTTGAAACTAAATAGATAGGGATTGGCTGAAGTTGATCGGTTCTCGTACTTGGATAGTTGCGTGACGAATGACGGTTGTGCAGTACAGACGCTGACCACACGCGTTTTCTGGGTTCGATCAGCGTATGCCCGTTTGATGCACCTTTTTATGTTTCCTGCAGTTAAAAGGTAGCGTATATTATGCCATTTTTCGGTCAGTTCTGCTTTAGAGTTGTGAGACGTTGATTCTTCAAGTAGAAAACATACATCGATTGGAGGTTTTCGACAAGAAGAGGCGTACAGGCCAGACCCAGACTTTTCAGGTTCTGGCTGGGATCACCAGCTTGATTGGCATTGAGTAATATTGGGCGCCTTGGACGTTTGACTTTATCCAAACAGGTGGGATGCATTGAGCGTGTTAGTAACCCCGAGGTAAACGCGCGTGCGTTTGGTAATTTATCGGGAAAAGTTTGTTGTCACAGAATTCATATTAATAGGATTCGCTGGTTGTAGCACATTTGTGCGCGTGTGCAACGCTCGCCCATCACTCCGCATCTTATTATCAGTTTCTGCTCTGACCTGGAGAAAATCATGTGGCTAGTAGCGACTAGGCAGAGTACGTGTCTCCCGTCCCTCAGGATGGAGTCCAAATTACTGTAACTTGGTTGTAATCACCAAAGGATATATCAGCGAACCAACATCGGTATCGTTCTTGTTAGCACTTCCTTTCATCTGCTGCAGACTGGCCACCAAGCCGATCGCAGAAATTCTTTTGGATTGATTACACCGACGGTTTCTAAGATTTGCAGACGCCATATCAATCGATCTCCGGAAGCCCTAGTTGTGTCAGCTGATGGAGGTCTTCATCGGTCTAGCATTTTCCTAGTAACCCTCGTAAGTGGAAGAGTGAATTGTTATTGTTAGTTTATTATCACATGTGATAAATAAAATATTTTGCAAGCACTCTACAGTAAGCAGCAGCTGAGATGCAGTGAAATGAATACGGAACTAAATTTTGCCCACTTGAAGTATTGCGTTCTCTGTTCAATTTAGTTTCGTGAAGAATTTGCTTCAACTTCTTATCAAGCCAAAGTGCTCGAAAATGTATGTATGCTTAGTCAGATTGTGCGTTCTGTGTTGACCGTAGGGTTCACTTTCTTCCTCCTTCCCTCATAATTCAACTCAGTCCCTGCCCACACATTCTGTCTGATCTTATATGCTTTGAGAGCTTGGCAGTGATCTATAAGGTTCCCTGTATTCCGCTGTACGACGGCAGCGATGATGATGATGATGATGAGGAGGAGGAGGATTCGGGTGGAGACTCCCCGGTCAGCTATCTTCCACATAGGCTACCGGGGACTAATTTACCCTCGCAATGTACGGGCGCTACATTTTTTGTGGCACTTTACCCATTTGATATACTTGCTCATTTGTTAAATATCAAAGCTTTCGAGACCATTTCAAGATTCCTAGTAATTCAATTTAATTTTTCCTTTGGATGTTATTCGGCTTATTAAATGACCAGAATCCATCATCTGTTACAATTTCGCATTTCACGATCTGTAGAGCAGTTGATTCCCATGTACATGAGAATCTACTGTTCGGTTGTGGAAGACGTTAACCAAACCGGTTTTAATTTAATTGAATAGACGCGTTCTGGAGCTGCGTGATAACAAAGCTAGCACCGAGTAATAATCTCTGTTATTTTTTCGGAAACTTCACTTTCGCATCCCTACCGTAGCTGATAAATATTAATTCACCCGGTAGTGAAATCCATCATCGCTATCCACAATCCATTGAATCTTGACAACTGTTTGTTATTTACACCTGTTTTAGCATCCGCAGCATCATGACAAAATATCTGGAGAAGAACGGGGAGCTCACATTCGATAAAATATTCAATCAAAAACTCGGTAAGTTCAGTTCTTTTCGAAGGCTAAAATACACCCCCCCCAGGTTACCTGCTTTTTCGAGACTACGCCTTGAATGGAAGCGAAGAGTCCGTGCCTCAGTTGGGTTTTTACGAAGATGTAAGCCTTTGGTCTTCCCATTATGTATACACACAGATCAAAAAGTTCGAAAAGCTCGAGACAGATGAAGAACGAATCAAACTGGGAAAAGAGATTTATGATCAGTATATAATGCGAGAATTGCTCTCCCACACTCATGTAAGTCATTGATAGTCTTAGTGGTATTTTAATTGCTTTATGTTTGCAGAAGTTTTCCAAGCCAACTGTGAATCATGTACATGAATTACTCACTCAGGCACAGAGAACTAAAAAGCTTCCTCCAGATACGTTTTCGGTAAATCAATCGTTTTCCCTAATGCGATTTAAAATAACTAAGCCTTACATAGATGAAATTTTACAAACACTGAAAGGCGATGTGTTTGATAACTTCCTCCGCAGGTTGGTTGGTCTCAATTCTATTATCTGCTCACGCTGTATTAGCCCTAAGTTTACTCGATTTTGCCAGTGGAAAAACTTGGAACTGAACATCAATGTAAGTTGAACGCTAATGTATGCTAGCATATACAAGCATTTGATTGTTCATCATTTATGCAACAGTTTATTCTAGTCTCCTATGGGGTAAAATTAGACTCTGAAATGATGATCTATGTGAAAGCATTCCTTATTGCGGTTTAACGTGAATTAGTGTTCCTAATCTCTTTGACCAAAATCAAGGTATGACAAATGAAGCTGGTAGTAGGTTTCTAAGTACGTACCGCCTACTTTAGCCTGAGTGACGGAGTAGCACAACGGCCCACAGCAGATAAAAATGAACTGTGCACTTTCTCTCATCAACAAATCTGCACCCACAGGTTTCAATTAGAGAAAACTTCGTAACCATCGAATCTTCCTGTTCGTCCAAATGGGCAGCCAAACGACAGCAACCCAAACCGGCGCATGAAAGTGCTTAGTTAATGGTTGTACAAACTGAAACTGAGCTGCTTCCCAATTTTCCTCCATCTCACATTTGCCCTCCGCACATTTTCAATTCCATCAGGGTCTTCAGGCGTTCGTACTAACAGATGGAATTCTCGTCCCTATTCTCTCGCGTTCGACTCACCGAATCTTTCTTCATCGGTTGAAGCTCCTCTTTGCCCTCAATGCTGTTTAAAACTAGTCAAACTCAACATGTGTGCTCTGACGCACATAGGACACCAGGCTTGTTTAATTCATACCTTCGAGACCCTAACCAGCGATGTGTATTGAAGAAATACTCGGACCTATTGGGTAGAGTAGGTGTCTCCCACCATCCAGATTGGGATCCGAAAGACTCCGCAACTGGTTAGTGGGAGACATTGAAGAATATGGCAGTGAACCGGCAGCAGTGGCGTTCTTGTTGTCGTTTCTTATGCTGCCAAAATGCTTGAAACGGTATGTATACAGAGTTTGGTTGGGTAATCTATGAGTTTATCGTAGAGGTTCACTTTTTCCCCTCCCTTAAAATAGGTCCAATCCTTGTCCACCTTAAACATTACCACTAACCCTGATTGTATTGCGAGTTGGGCATCGATCAGTAAAGTTCGCCTCACTGTACTTCGTTGTACGATGGTAATGATGATACGTTGTATCCTAGTCTTGCATTCAAAACTCTAGCTCCATCATCCGATTGATGCCCCATCAAACAATTCTGTGAAGTTTCACATGCACCTTTCCGGGGACCCTGAAACTGCTTCTGGTTATGCTGGCTTTGGTGTGGCTCTCAGTGAGAGGGTTGACGCCAAGATCCTAGATTACTTCTCAGTCGAAAGTCAGTTCTTTGCAGTGAAATTCAGAGGCAAATTAAACAGTCGGCGCTCCAAAAGACGCAGTTTGTTTGTCGTTTCAGCGTACGTATCCACGAACTGCAGCTCGGATACAATTAAAGGTATTTTCAGTCTAAAACTACTCGACTTCCTGCAAAACGCTAGTCCGGCTGATATCGTGATTTCGGTAGATGTGAATGCTCAATTAGACAGCCTGTCTTTGAGCGAGGCATATCTGGAAGGTGCGTTCGGACTAGACTCCTGTTGCTCGGAAAACGGGGAACGGCTGTTGGCTCTGTGTTCCAACCACTGTCTATTCCTCGCCATTGCGAACTTCAGACTTCAAAACGTTATGCATTCTGTTGACTTAATAAGTTGTAACCTGACACATCGTTTTGTGACACCCTGGATTTCAACTGAGTCTCTGCGCCTTCTTNTTCTTGACGCACTTCGGTCGATTTCGATCGGCGGCGAGTATAACGTAGCACGATTTGTAACGGCATGTGAACTGACTGTCGTCACCCGGCCCACTACTACGCTTGATCTACATGGTCCGCCACTCCAAGTTTTACGATCATGGCTGCCGGTTTCCTTATCGCAACACAAAACGACGATACAAAATCAAGCATACGCTCTCGCTTTTCACTTGCAAATCAAACATGGTCTCATTTTCTGCAAACATTCGCGGACTGAACCGCAACATTGATTTTGTACTCCGATTTCTCCATTCTCCTCCTCCAGCCTTATTGTCGACCGAAACACAAATCTCCCCTCACCAGACACTACGTACCATCAAGTCCCCGACTACACCAACTCCTTATTTGCAACCAAAGCTGATGTCTACATCTTTATCCACTAAGTATTCGCTGTCTCCAAAATCCAAAATCTTGAATTTTACAATCGTAAATTTTAGCGGATGTGGCCGAAATTCCGAGTTCCTTCTGTTCCTTTTGTGTCCTAAATCGATCCCCTAATAGTGGCGACTCTATCTTTGATTTTTCATCTTTGAACCATTTGTTTGCGACCGACTCTAGCTGCCGTGCTACCATTTCAGGAGATGCCAACGTTCATAATCAGCAATGGTTACCACATTCGCCCCCAATTACTAACAAGATCTTCCTTCTTCCCGATGAAGTACTCTCCTCTTATGAATCATTGAAATCCGAGCTAATTTAAGCATTACTGGTTGCAGTCGATAAAGAAGCACCACTAGTGATCGAAACCGATGCTTCAGATGTAACAATCTCTGCTACATTCAGTCAAGTAATCGCCCCGTGGCTTTTTTTCGCGTACCTTGTCACCTTCAGAGCGAAATCATTCTGCTGCAGAAAAAGAAGCCTGCGTGATAATTGAAGCCATTCGAAAGTGGCGGTACCACCTGCTGGATGCCCACTTCAGATTGGTTACCGATCAACGCTCCATCGCCTTCATATACGACATGAAAGTCAGCAGGAAAATCAAGAACGACAAAATACAACGCTGGCGTATCGAACTTCCCCAATATACTGTCCAGGTTCGGAGAATCCCGCAGCCGATGCTTTATCACGAGCATTCTGCGTAAGCACTCACTCAATTGATGAACTGAAGTGACTTCACGACACTCTGAGCCACCCCGGTATCACGCCTCTGTACCATTTTGTCCGCACAAAAACTTACTCTTTTCTTTCGATCATGTCAAGGTGATAACTCAACAGTGTTCTTTTTGAGCACGCCTTAAACCCATGTTTCACAGACCATGCAATAGCCTCCTTGCTAAGGCTACAGAACCTTTTGAACGCCTCGGCATTGATTTCAAAGGACCGATTCCCTCTTCCACTCAACATCACTACATTGTGACAACAATTGATGAGTATTCCCGTTTTCCGTTTGTTTTCCCCTGCCCCGACGTGACTGCTCGCACTATAATTTCTCGTTTGACTGCGGTATTTTCCATATTTGGCCTGCTGCACTATCTACACTTCGATCAAGGAGTCTCTCAGGAATTGAAGACGTTCCTTCACGGCCGAGGAGCAGCTACGAGCAGGACGACGAGCTACAATCCTCAAGGTAATGGTCAGGTTGAGAGGCTGAATTGAAGCATACGATAACCATATCCCTGTGCCTCCGTTCAAAGGATCTAGCGCCTGATCAATGGGGATTAGTGCTCCCTGATTCCCTCCATGCTATCAGATCATTACTTTGTACGACTATCGACGCGACAACTCTCGAATGTATGTTCTGCGATTGACACCAGTCTGCCTCAGTGATCAATAACACCTGGTCCCATGCTATATCGTAAAAAATGTCCTCGCTTACATGTATGATCCCATGATAGAAGCTGTACTACTGGAGAGCAACTCCGAATACACCCACATACTTTCCCTAATGGATGAGAAGAAACAGTATCTCTTCGTTTTCTTGCTCCCGTAGAACGACCAACTTCATCGCCACCCACCCCTTTTTCAGAGCCTTGCTCGGAATCCCCCCACCTAATGACATACCTTGCACCTCAGATTCGCACACAGTTCTGTCCGACCCGGTGGAACTTCTTAGTGAATCAGAAACAAGCGTTGAGGACCTATCTAAACAGCAAAGGGTGAGACCTTATTGCCTTCAAACCGTGAGGTTTAGCAACGCATCCTCCACTGATTAGTGTGAACGCTTCTCATTCTCAGTCCTCGGGACACCCGAAATAAACTAATCTTCGTCTTCTGAGTGACGGTGAATATTGCAGATTTACTACTGTCTTTTCTGTAGCATAGATTGCTCTTATTCTGAGTCCATATTCTAACATTTCGTCCGTCCCGCGTTAGCTCTCATGCCTCGTTTGAGTCCCTGATCGAACTGGTGGTCGTGCCCAGATCCTCGACCTAATTCTCACTTCATCCTCCTTTTTATTCTCTGATGATTGTAATGTCCCTCCTCTCGGGTCATCAGATCACCATTCTTTCTTGCTTTATTAGTTTTACTGAGGTCAGTGTACTCATATACGTCTGGTCGTGTAGGCTCTATAATGAACTAAGTAGGCCGTTCATCACGGGCAACGGCTTTCGTCAAGGGCGCCCTCTTTCGCCGTTCCTGTTCAATTTCGTCGTAGACGGAATACTGGCGAGCGCACTAA